CACCGCTTGTCCTAGGTCCATTTGCCATATTTTTTTTAATGTTTTTGTTCCCGGGTACCTTTTATGTTCTTCGTCCATCTCCTATCCGAACCTCTCCGATTGGGGAGCAGCGTGCACACATAAAGGACTACAAGGCCCAGTCAAGCTTGGTGGTGACATAGAGCAGTGGGGTGTGCGTGATGGAGAAACTTCCTAACAATAGAGTATATCACCAGCACACCAAAGTAAAATCTTAAACGAGCGGTCATTTTATTGATGTACACACATCTCGTCATCAAACAATGTTACGGGGCCACTCTGGGTCATGCCTGATGAAGGGACCCCGAAACGTTGCTTTATGACGAGATGTGTGTACGTGAATAAAATGGCTGCTCGTTTAGGATTTTACTTTTGGTGTGCTGGTGATATACTTTATTATTTGGGTTTGAAGTGGCGCCATCCACCATAACTGCAGCACCCACTTTAAAAGGGACATACCAGTAAGGAGTGTGGTGACAACCTCTTTGGAACTTATGCAGCAACTTCCTGTCCCAGGCTGGCTGTCACAACTTCTGCTGCCTATGTCTGTAAATTTACCAATCATTCCATCTTCAGTTCACCCCTGCACAGTGGCGTCACAAGGGGGGTGCGGCCTGCACCTGGGTGACACCAAAGTGACTGACAGCCATTTTGGTGTCACCCCCTCTGAAAAGTCGGGCACTCAGTCATGGACCGAGAGCCCGACAGTTTCGGGAGAGAGGAGGGTATCCAGCGGCAAACCTTATCCCACCAGGTGACTGTCCCCTCCTGTCACCAAGATGGCTGCCGGCAGGTATCCATAAGATCGCTGCACATGCGCGATTACATCATCACACACGGTGATGTCACGCGCATGCGCAATGACATCACGGCGGGATGTCACCCGGAGACCACTCCGGGTGACTCCCGGCCTCGGGACGCCCTGCCCTCTGTTGAAGCTGATCCGAGCACAGCTTCTTCCCCGGCCAGAATTTACCAGCTCTGCCCCCAGAAGTGCTCAGAGCCGAGTGCTCTGCTCCATACTGTGTATGCACTTTACAGCTCATTCATAAAATGTAATCCCTGTTGAGGGGCCTGCAGTGTTGCGAGGAGTGTTCTCTGCATAACACTTATCGGCCATTATACTCCGGCCCGTTATTCTTTTTTCTAGTTAGTCTGGGGAGACTTGTAGACTTGCAGAGTGAAGAGCCATGAAGCACAGTCACAAGGCAGTGCTTGCAAACAGGAAGCAGATAATGGATAGAGAACAAAGGTGAATGTATCAAAACTGGAGCAGACAGAATCTGGAGAAGCTGTGCATGGCAACCAATCAGCCTCTATATTTCATTTTCAGAACAGACTGAAGAGAGAAGCTGATTGGTTGCCATGACAACAGTTCCAGATTCTATCAGCTCCAGTTTTGATAAATCTCCCCCACAGAGTATACTGTATATGGCAGGGGTAGTCAACCCCTCCAGCTGTGGTGGAACTACAAATCCCATGATGCATTTCTCTCCGGGAGTCATGTCCGTGGCTGTGAGAATCTTGCAATGCCTCATGGGATTTGTAGTTCCACCACAGCTGGAGGGTCGGAGTTTGGCTACCCCCTGGTATATGGCCTCTCCCACATCTATCTATAATGTAATCTGTACTCGGAGAAGATTCACTTTAGAAAGCAGCGGCCTCACCTTGCGGCCCTTGTGCGGAAGAGCGTAGATCGGCTCCGCTGCCACATTTTCATCTCTCCTCGGCGACGCTTGCTGAACAAATTGTTTCTCGATCTCCGACATTTGCTCCTCCGTGCCGTCATCGTCGTCATACTGGGAGGACATGACGGGAGAGCGTTGCTTTTTCCGGTTGGCGTAGTCCTTCCAATTTTGTCTGAAATCAAATGGAGTCTTTAGTAGCCATAAAGAGAGCCATACGCAACCCTGCGCTAGCCCGAGCCAAACAGCCGCCATGACCTGGCCAGCCGGGCTGGAACTCTCCCAATTCCTCACCCACATCACAGGAAGCACCGGCCCTCATTTCCAGGGGATGATAGAAGAAGAGGAGAAGGACTTCTACTTACGCTATTCCGAGCTCCGAGGCTGAAGCGTAGGGTTCGATCTGGCTCGTTCGGTCAACGCACATGCTGTCGGTTTCGGAGTAGGATCTCTGGCGCGGCTGCGGTATGGCGACCGTGCGACCGGTTAGGGAGGTCATCAAAATGGCAGCAGCAAGAGCGGACCTGGATAAAGAACAGGAAGTTCTGTATATTCACAAATCCGCACAGCCATTCGTCCTGCGGTGTACAATCATTCAGTGTGAATGGCGGAAGAAATCGAATGTTATTAGTATATTTTGTTTCCAGGTTGAATGTAATTAAAGTGACACTACACTCCGGACTTCAATCTTAAAAGAGAACTATGAGGTGAGTGAAAATCACTAATCCTCATAGTTCTAGCCGGCCTGTGACAATGAGGCTGTCACAGGTCGGCTCAATAGATCGGGAAGTGAGCGAACTTATACCGTCGCTCACTTTTCGATCCTGTCCCTGCAGAGAGCGGTGACTGTCACTCACGGCTCCCTGCAGGGATTCCCCCCTCCCCTCTCTGATCCTCCAGTGCCGAGTGGTGGAACGGACGGGGGAGAGCGGGTACAGCTGGCTTTTAAAGGAGAACTATGAGGTGAGTGAAAATCACTGATCCCCATTAGTTCGAGCCGACATGTGAAATTGAAATTGTTACACGTCGGCTCAATAGATCGGGAACACATACCGTCGCTCAATCACTTCTCAATCCTGTCCCTGCAGAGAGCCGTGACTGTCACTCATGGCTCCCTGCAGGGATTCCCACCCCCCCCTCCCTGTTCCTTCAGCACTCATTAGAGGAACAGACAGGGGAGGAGGTGGGCGCAGCTGACTTTGACTCTAGAGAGACAGAGCCAGCTGTCAATCAGGCAGCGGGGTGACTCCTGACTAGGCTGACCATATGTCCTCTTTTAAACGGGACAGTACCGTTATTTCTTAATTTTTCCCATGCCCCGTCGTTTCTTTAAAAAAAT